TTTTTTTTTTTTTTATTATACCAGGAGGACAGGTGTGACCTGGGCCACTTGGCCTCCCTCGTCTTAGGAACAGGGTAGAGCACTCAGGCAGAGGGACCAACACTTGCAAAGGCCCTGAGGCAGGAGCCTGTCACTAGCTCAGTATAGGGCCAGGTGGATGGCTTCCCTCAGCAGCCTGACACCATCCTCCCCGGAGTGTCTCTGGGCCAGGTGTGATTTGGAGATGGGTGCTGGGGGTGCTGAGGGCAGGGACTCCCATCCAGGACCAGGAAGGCCTGTTCTGTACCCTGCTGGCCTGGCACTCTTGTTGGGTGGTCTTTCACCTTGGGAACAGCCTTGGACACCACGACCCCGTCCCCCCCCCAGGGAGGACATCACCTACCGGCTGCCGGAGCTGGACCCTCGGGGCTCTGACGAGGAAAACCTGGACTCAGAAACGTCGGCCAGCACTGAGAGCCTGTTGGAAGAGCGGGCCGGGCGGGGGGCCTCAGAAGGTCAGTATTAAGGCAGTGTCTGCTTTTCTCCTTCCCGTGTCCTCCACCACCGGCAGGCCCTGGGGCAAGGGTCCGTCTACTGGCCCCGAAGCTGCAGTAACCCTGCCGTCTGTCTCTCAAAAGGGCCCCCCGCGCCTGTTCTCCCCAGCCCCGGCGCGCCCGCCCTGAGCCCCCTCCCCGTGGCAGCCGCCCCTCCACGACGAAGGCCGTCGTCCTTCGTGACGGTCAGAGTGAAGACCCCCCGGCGGACCCCCATCATGCCCACAGCCAACATCAAGCTCCCGCCCGGCCTGCCCTCCCACCTCCCCGGCCGGGTACCGGGTGCCCCGGAGGCCGCTGCCCCAGTGAGGCGCCGAGAGCCGCCTGCCCGCCGCCCGGACCAGGTACACTCTGTGTATATCACACCCAGCGCTCACCTGCCCGTGCAGGGCATGCGGGAGCCCCTGGACGAGGACGACCGGCCTCCGGGGGCCAAGCGGAGGTACTCAGACCCCCCGACCTACTGCCTGCCCCCCACCTCGGGCCAGGCCAACGGCTGAGGGCCCGCGGTGCAGAGTCCCCGCGAGTCTGAGGACCAGCCCGCGCCAGAGCTGGGCACTGAGCTGCAGAGCCAGCGTTTGGCTGAGAAGGATCCCGAATGAAAAGCTCCAAGACAATGTGAGGTGGGCGCCAGCCCCAAGTGCAGAGTCCAAGCAGGGAGAGGCCAGCCAAGGCCCGGCCGCCCTTGCTGAGCCCCCACACCACGTAGATGCGCCCACCCAGAGCACCAAATCATGGTGGGCGGCCTGGCATCTGGCATCTCCCACCTCCCTTTTTGTTTTATATGGTAACTGTTTCTTTGTGCGTGGTTTACATAACTTTAAACTGTAACAGCCTTAACAAGAGACCAAATTGTTTTTTATACTTGTATGTACAAACTTTTATATTAACGTCCTGCATCTCCCTTATAACCCGGACTTGAGCCTTCAGAGCAAAGCGTGCACGGCCGCCGCGTGTCGGGGGCTCAGACCCGCACTGAGGACGGCCTGGGGCCCACAGTCTGAGGGCCGGGGCCTTGCACACGGGATTTGGGCCCCTGGGGCCTCTGACTGCCCCAGGTGTGTCTCGGACGCATCCTCTTGCCCGGCTGGCATGCATCTGAAGGAGTGTTGGAGCCTCTCTGGGAATCAAGGCTGGTGGCTGGAGTCAGGGCACAAGGTGGTCGGCAGCCTCCACCTGCAGCACCACAGACCTCACATCCCAGGGAGACTTGAATGTGGCCATCACTCTTCTGTCTCCATGCCCCGGACTCGGGAGGCCAGAGGAGGCGACCCTCAGCATACTGCCCACTCCGTGTGGCCAACAGGAGCCGAGACTCAGGACCACTCACAGGCAGGGAGGGCAAGGCCTGGGGTTGGACATTCCTGCTGGTCGACAGTGACAGCCTGGGGATCTCCGGAGTTGGGCTCCCCCTCTCTCAGGCTTGGCTCACTCCTCAGACACACAGCCACAGGTCTGGGACGGGAGGTGCCCCAGGTGCCCCACAGCCGTGCAAAATAAAAAGTGCCTGAAAGGTGTTTGCGTGCAGTTCCTGCTCAGACTGGGTTTGGAGTTTGTTGGCGGAGCGGGGGGCTAGCAGGTGGGGGTCCACCCTGTGGCCTCAGCCAAGAGGGGTGCAGGGCGGGGGGCTGTGCCCCTTGTCTGGGAGGACCTGCCCTGAACCTCCAGCCAATTGCTGTTGGAATTTCACATGTGCTCCTCACACTAGAGTGGTGCATTTGCTGGAGGTGCTTGTTTATTGATCTGGAAATGGGAGGGGGGGTTGGCAAAGAGCCTGTTGTCCTGGGAGCTGCCTCCCCTTGCCCTGTTTTAGCACCCAGCCTCTCCCCAGCGAGGGCTTAAATGTCAGCTACAAGGCCGTCTCCCTCTGAGAGGATCAGTCCCTGGTGGGCCCAGCGGAACCGGAAGCCACCCCCTGCCCACTATCCTCTCTCAGCCCAGCTCTCAGGCTGCAATCAGATGGGCAGCTGTGGGAACGTGCTGGCAGTCGGGACCCATGGGGCCGGGGTGGGGGGAGCAGTGAAGAACCTTAGTCCCGACAGCACATGAGGGAGTTGGGAGGCTTGTCTGAGGCCACACATTTGGGATGGGGTAGGGCTGGGATTCAGAGCCTGCCCCATCTGCCTCCAGTGCCCCCCTTCATCCCTGGGTTTAGTCTGCTACATAGTATTTTGCGAGGACACCAGGCCCACGTGTGACCGGGACACAGGTGACATGAAGGGTGGGAAGATGGATGAGTGCCGCAAGCCAGGCTCCAGTCCCTCTGAAGCTGCAGTCCTTAACACTGTCCTCCGCAGGCCTAGGGGTGGGGGGAGGTCGCAGGATGGGCCTTGACTGGGGACTCAGGTGGGGCTCTCTCCATGGGGGTCTGGGCGTTAGGGGTGACCCTGCCCCACCTCTCACCCCGAGAGCTAGCTAATATCCCCCCCCCACCCCGAGGCAGGCTTTGTCACACCACCCCTTTTCCAAAGGAGGAACCAGGCCCAAAAAGTCAAGCCTCCTCAAGGCCACTGCGGGGGGTGGAGTCAGAATCAGACCCGGAAGCTCATAACCACAAACTTCGGTGGGCCCCTAAGCCTTGGATACCTTAGTCCCAGGCCCGTACCCTGGGAAGAACCGGGGAAGGCTGCCTGGATACGGAAGAGCTCAGCGTGGGAAGAACCCAAGCCGAAGTGGGCGTGGGGAAGGAATTTTGAGCAGGAGAAAAGGAATAAGCAGAGGACGTATTGCACATGGGACTGACATCGAAGGACCGGTCCTTTTAACCCTTCCGGAAGGGTTAAGACGCTTGACAAGGGAAAACGCGATTCAGCCCTGAGTAAATACAGACAGGAAAGCGCCTCTCCTTGAAACAAAACATTAGTTCCGTCCCAAAGACGCAACCGCGAACGAGTGGTGGACGCGCCCGGAAGAAGCCCAAATGAGGGCACTTCCGCCCTTCTCCAAGATGGCGCCGGCGGAAGGGGCAGGGTACCGCCGAGGGATGATGGCAGCGTCGAGGCTGGAACTGAACCTGGTGCGGTTGCTGTGCCGCTGCGAGGCGATGGCAGCGGAGAAGCGGGACCCGGACGAGTGGCGTCTGGAGAAGGTGAGGGAAATCTTTACTGTTAAGCAGAGCCCAATGCCCAGACGGCGACCTCCGCATCTAGCGACCACCGGGCCCTACGCCCCAGTCCCAACAGCCGCTCTGACCACGCCCCTTCCGGCCGGTTCCGCCACGTCCACCTGTAACTCCCGCCCCATTTCCTACAGTTCAGCTAGCCCCGCCTCCCTGACTCCTCCCCTTTCGGCCCAGCCCCCTCTTTGGCCCCGCCCCTTTGGTGGCCCTGCCGCCCCCAGCCCCCACCCCACCCCCACCCCACTTTGAGCAGGACCGGGAGGAGTGGGAGGGTGTGGCAGACCAGGCTTACACCCCCACTTTCCCTCCCCAGTACGTGGGAGCCCTCGAGGACATGCTGCAGGCCCTGAAAGCCCAGGCAAGGTGAGTGCAGGCGGCCACAGGGGCTTCAAATCTGGGATGGGAGTCGGGGGCCAGGGCCGGTCCCTGTTGGGGAATCCCTAGGCTCCAGCCCCCTGCTGAGACCCTTCCCGGAACTGGGGACAATGGGCAGCCTTTCTTTTTCCTCTTCTCGCCTTCCAGCAAACCAGCCTCCGAGGTGATCAATGAATATTCCCGCAAGGTCGATTTCCTGAAGGGGATGCTGCAGGCAGAGAAGCTGGTGAGCCGGCCTGCTCTACTTCCTCAGCCCTCATCACGCTCACCTGCCCAGGACCTGTCCCTCTGGTGACCCCTTTTCCCTCTTTGGCAGACCTCCGCCTCAGAGAAGGCCCTAGCCAACCAGTTTCTGGCCCCTGGCCGTGTACCAACCACAGCCAGGGAGCGGGTGCCTGCCACCAAGACGGTGCATCTGCAGTCGCGGGCTCGGTACACCAGCGAAATGAGGAGTGAGCTGCTAGGCACGGTAGGGCTACCTCCCTGGTCCCTGGGAACCCTTTGGTCAGGGACAGTTTCGTGCCTGGATGTGGCCAGAACAAATGCTGGCAGGTGCAGGGACCCAAGGGGTCCCAACAGCCTCTGCCCTGGGCCATCAGTAGGCTTCCCAACAGAAAGGCGGAGCCACGACTTTGCTAGATGTGTAAGAGTTTGGTCCAAGGCAAAAATGGTATAGATAGTTAAGACCCAGAGCAACAGATAGGCAAGTTTGCCACAGATAGATGACTGTGTCTCATCCTGCCACAAATGGACAAGTTTTTCCATCTGTAAAATGGGACAGCACGTGTCTTCTTGAGCATTTTATGTGGATCAGGTAAACCCTTTGAAATATGAAGAAACTGAGGCCCAGAGGTCATGGGACTTGCCCTGGTCCCTGAATGAGTGTGTGTGTGGGGGGGGGGTTCTGAGAGCAGAAAGGACATTTTGGGGGGGCAGGACAGATAGGTGACTTCATGCCTCTCTCTTTTTCCCATAGGACTCTGCTGGAGGTGAGTCGCCCTGAATGAAACGGGACTTGAGGCTTAACTGTCGTGCCGCCTCACATCCTTCACCTGACTCCCCCAGGGTCTTCCACAGCCCAGGGAGCATAGCCCCAGGGGCGTCACCTAGTTATGCCTGATGGGGGTACCAGGACAGAGGAGCTGGCCGCCAGAGGAAATAAAGCTGGAAACTCCCAGGCCACGGGGCCAAGGTTAGGCCAGCAGAAGGGACGTGGGGCCTGGGGGAGCCCAGATAGGGGTGAGGAAAATTTCTTAAAAGAGAGGGCTTTTGAGTTAGGGCTTTGAAGCATGATCAGGAGCTCACTGGGCAGCCGACTAGACAGGCAACGACATTATGAATAGCAGACACATCACAGGCAATGATCAGGAAGCCGGAAAACAGGAAACCAATCCTTTCCTTCTTCCTGCTTGGCTTTTTCGCTTCCAGAGCCCCAGCCGAATGTGAGGAAGAGAACGTAAGTGTCTTCAGCCCTTGGGTGGCCCTGGGGTGTGAGGAGGGCGGGCGGCTGGACGAACCTTGGGCCACTGAAGCACCAAACCATGAGGGCCTCCACAAGCATCTAAACTACTGATCAGAAGCCACTTCTGGGGATGCTCTTCCTAAAAGCCAAAGTAAAAAAGGGGAAACGGAGCCCCAAGCAGGGCAGTGGCTGGAGCCATAACCTTTGGGTTCCTTGGGAACATGTTGGTTTCTTCCCCTCCCCCACCCCGTCTCATGCCCACTTGTCCACCTATGTATGAGGTCAGCGGGGTGACAGGGCCCAGACCAGGGGATGAGAAACAGTCGGCAGCCGAGCTGGACCTCGTCCTGCAGCGACATCAGAACCTCCAGGAGAAGCTCGCGGAGGAGATGCTAGGCCTGGCCCGGAGCCTCAAGACCAACACACTGGCCGCCCAGAGCGTCATTAAGAAGGACAACCAGGTGTGAGGACTGTGGGAACTTTCCAACCTCTGCCCTGGGACATCAGAGAAGGCTTCCCAGCAGAAGGGCACTGTGGCCAGGGCTTTGTTGGATAATAGAAGTTTGGTAGTAGGCACAAACGGAATTCCCAGCAGAGGGGGCAGTACCAGCAGGGCCTAGAGGAGCAGACTTGCCCCCAGGTGGCGGGGAGACACCACACTTGACCGCAGTCGGGTTGACACTCTCCCTACCTCACCCACAGACCCTGTCACACTCCCTCAAGATGGCTGACCAGAACCTGGAGAAGCTGAAGACAGAATCCGAGCGGCTGGAGCAGCACACACAGAAGTCTGTCAACTGGCTGCTCTGGGCCATGCTTATCATCGTCTGCTTCATCTTCATCAGCATGATCCTTTTCATCCGCATCATGCCCAAACTCAAATAAAGACCTGTCCCGGCCCACCCTGTCTGCCCTCTGTCTGCCCTCCACCCGTGTCCAGGGCTGTCCTTTGGGCTGGGCAACAATATGGGAGGGTCTTTGGAGGTTCCTGAGAGCCACAGAAAGCGCATGAGCAGGAGAGGAAGGTCAATCTGGGCGGGGTGGTGACCCAGTGACCTCCCCCTTCAGCTCCCCCCTGAGTACCCACCCCACACCGGAAAAGGCCAGGCCCCAAGAAGCCGCAGGAGACCCCAGGCTGGAAGAGTCAGAGCCAAACACAGTGCCTTCAGCCCTGTGCGGTTGGGGTGAGGCTGGAGGGTGGGGGAGAAATGGGGCTATGTCTGGAGGTCAGCCTGGAGGAGGGAGCATCAGGGCTGGGCCTTCTTGAAACTGAAGATGATAGTTCAGAGATGAGACTTAGTCCAGCCACGACCTGAGCTCTCCGGAAACTAGAGGCTTCAGCAAGTCATTCAACAAACACATGAGGGTCTGTGGAAACTCTGCCCTGCCAAGGTCATAGCCTGATCATTTCAGATGAGAACTGGGGGGGGGGGGGGGGCACTACCCCCTCCCGAGTAGGGACCCTGGAAGGGGTCATAGAGTGGGAGTCCCAGGAGAACCATTGGTCCTGGGCTCTGCTCTCACCCCAGACGTTGAAGGCAAAGCCTGTGAAGGGGGTGATCAAGGGAGCTCAGTGAGGGAGGCTGGGCAGGTGACAAGTGCACAAGGGTGTTTGTCCCAGACCCACGGGAGTGTGAGTGGGCACTATGGGGACAGGCATGGAAGTGCCCAAGTGGACCCCCATCAACACAGGTGTAAAAACACCAAGTAAAGCTTTTTATGAGCTCTAATGGCAACTTTTAAAAAATACATCTTGAGGGGCACCTGGCTGGCTCAGTCCGTAGAGCATGCAACTTTTTTTTTTTTTTAAGATTTTATTTATTTATTTGACAGAAAGAGACACAGCTAGAGA